CCTCTTCTAATTAAAAGGTACAGCAGTACATTTTTTTGTTTCCTTCTACTTTACCAATTTAACATGGTAGGGGCTTGGGGTATGACTCAGTGATAGAGTATCGGCTTAGCGTGCACAAGGTCCAGCATTCAATCCAAAGTGTGCATGTGTGTGTGCTTGTGCATGTGCACACATACAAATATGGCCTCTAATAATTCCAATTTATACTTTAAATGATCCAACTAAACATGAAATTATAACCCATATCTAGTAGTTTGTGTACCTGCTAGTCACTACACAAAGCATTAATTACCTAGGATAATTACTTTTTAAAAAAATAATTTTAAGCACTCATACAATACAAGCATTTCAAAACAAACACCATTTCAGGTGGAATACTAGTACTGTCTTCACCTCATCACACAATACTGGTCTCAAATTTTTTTAAAAAATTACAACAAAAATCCTAAAAGCAGAATTAGAGGAAAACTACTCAAACTCACTAAATTCTGTAGACAATCAAGGCAGAAAACACCTAATATTGAAGTCAGGACATCACAGGTCCTCCCTCCCATTCTTATATTCTCTCTCTCTCTCTCTTTTTTTTTTTTTCTTTTTATCTGTACCAGGGATCGAACTCACGACCCCCTCCTTGCAAGATAGGTGCTTATGCCACTGAGCTAAATCCCCAGCCCTCTCCTTCTCATTCTTATTCTAAGAAACTGACAGTTGTCTTAGAAAAAAGATACAAGTTATATCATGAATAGGTACAAATTCTTTATGATGAATGTGTTCACTATGTATATCTAAAATGTACCAATAAAATCTGAAAAAAATAATTTTCAAAGTTCACAAATGCAGTAAAAAATCACATATTTGAAAATTACTGTATTTAAAGCGTCACGTTTACGCTTAACATTGCTTTAACAAAAGATTTCTCAACTTCATTTCTCAAACATAAAACATACCATTAATAAGGTGAAAAATACACTTGTGCATAGCTTTAAAAGGGGAAAAAAAAATTTCCCCTGTGAATTCAAAGTTCAAAAAAGGGGGAGAAATACTGATTTAGTTCAAACACTGAAACACAAGTTTACTAAACATTACAATTTTTACCAATTGAAAAACATTCTATAACTTATATATTACTACTGGTGTGATTTAGATGTACCTGCTTCCACTTTTTAGAAAAATCATTTGAATGAAGGTGACACACTGCTACGATTCTTTAAGAAAAAGATTACTATTATTTCAGACAACAGCCACTGAACACATGATGAACGAATATAAACTAGTAACACTGTTATGGATACAACATACCTTAAGCAGTGTGCTAGACACTTCATATGATTTCATTCAATCATTACTACTATTCTTTTAACATAATTTACTATCCTCATCTTACAGACAAGGAAGGAAATAAGACTCCATAGTTAAGTAATGCAAGCAGTCACAGTCACAGTTTAATGTAAGTCTGTACTGAACCTAGTCTGTTTTGCCTGCAGAAATCCCCTCTTGCACTATACCATCCTCCAAATGGTGTCAAGGTACACCATGAAGTTCTGTTAGTAAAGCTGTGCAACATATATTTCTCAGTTTACTCAGTTCTAATTTAATATTCCGAGTAAGAAGTGGCATAAGTGCCTGCCTGGCAAGTGCAAGATCCCGAGTTCAAGTCCCAATACCAAAAAAAAAGAGAAAGTATTAAATAATTACATTAAGAGTGTATACTATTTTTGTAGATACAAATAATATAATACTTTTGTGGTCTCCTTAACTTGCAACCTTTTTTCACTTAACAAAAGGAAGGATATATTTCCAGGTCACCACATGTAGACTCAAAAATGGTTACTAAACACATATTAAATATTAATTATTGTTGTACCCAAAAAGAAGCATATGGTTCAGCTAATATATTACAAGTATAAATGCACTTAACTCACTGTTTTCGTAGCAAATAACTAGAAACAATCTACTTTACCATCAATAAAGACATAGCTAAACAAAATAATCTATAGTATAAAATAATATGCATGCATTATAAAAAAAACCATTTAGATATACATGCATTAATCTGAAAATAAATCCACAACTTTGCTAAGTAAAAAACAAACAAAAAAGCATTCTGTAGCATTTCATGCAACAGCACATCTCATTTTTAAGCATACACACATTTAAACCCTACATGCACGAACTATGAGGGAATACAAACCTAACTGAAAAATGAATACATAGGCCGAGACTAGAAATAGAGGGACACTATTAGAACATGTCCAACACTATTTCTTGCGTTTACTGATAGTATGGGGAATACTGTTTGAAGCTAGTCATAGAACTGGCCTAAAAAAACAAAAACACCCAACACCCAATAGTAGAGGGCATTTTATTCAATTTTATTTTTCTTTTTACAGTTTTATTCCTTACTGTTTGCTTGCTTATACATTATGTTTTTCTTTTTCTTTTTTTTGTCTTTTTCTTTTTTATCAGTACCAGGGATCGAACTCATGACTGCCTGCTTGCAAGGCAGGCGCTTATGCCGCTGAGCTAAATCCCCAGCCCCTACATTATGTTTTTCACACTGTTTTACAGCTGTTTTATTCTACCCCTTAGAACACATGAAGCTGCTATGTAATTTTTACATAACTGATTCCAGACAGCAGGGGAAAAGCAACCTACTAAATATGCCTGGCAATCTTGTATTTCTTATACTCATTGTTTAGTTTTTTGTTTTGTTTTACATGCAAGAGATTTTATTAAAAACACCAGAATGGAGACAGCACTTTGGTGATTCCAACACAAAAATATCTGTTGAGTATGTACTAAACACAAAGCACAGGCACTAGGCGTTGACAATATAATGATCAAAAAAGACAACAAATCTTTGTAGAACTTCAGAACAGAAGCATTCTGACTTGCTCTAAGCGCCACAAAATGGAATGCTACTTGATTTGTCAGGTGGACACTAAACTTCTGCAGTCAACCTAAACATAGTGAATCGGTCAGTTTAATTTCTGCAACAGTATATTACAACCTCTACAAATAACTCACTTTTGAAGCCTGCTTTAAAAAAAAATAAAACTGACTTTTCACAAGATGTCATACTTTTATATACACTGTGAATAATTAAAAAACACTAGACTGCTTAATGTACCAAGAGGAAAGCAAAATCTTCCAGCTAATTATGTTGGCATGTTATAAAAAAGAAATGCAATATTCCAAAGATGTACTTTTTATGCACAAAATACTTAACCACAAAACTTGCACTACAGTTACAAAGATTAGGGCCAGGGATTTAGCTCAGTGGCATAACAGCCTGCCTGGCAAGCAAAAGGTCCTGGGTTCCATCCCCGGTACCAAAAAAAAAATGATTAGTAATAGTGAAAATTTTATTAACATGATGTTTGCAATTTGCTTTAAAATAATTAAGGTTGGTGAGGTGTACATAGATGAAGAAAGCTGATCACTATTGACACTGAGTATGACACTTTGACAACTGACACTTATGAGTATATGAACTCTCAAGATTCTGTCTTATTTTGTATACCATTCACAATTATCTAGAATGAAAAGATCTTTAAAAAGTAAAATACATTATGGTTAATGTGTCTGTCTATAAACTGTCTCTTGCCATGACTGACATTTCAAACCACATGAAAACATTTCAAGTGTTTTTTTAAAAATTGAAATATCTCTCAAAAATACTAACATTTTATCTTACATATCTTGCTAAGATTTTGCAAAGACGTTTTATGAACACTCCAAATTCTTGTTTAACATTGAAGTATGAAATGACTCTAACACTAAACATGAAATATAAAAAACAACGTTTTAAAATAGAACTCCAATTGCAAAATATCTTTAGAAACTATTGGAATCTACGGTTTTGCATCTTTAACAATAACTGCCACTTAGTGAGTGTCTAATATGTCCCACCTACTTTATAAACAATCTCAAATCCTAAAAACTGACTTTACAAATAATAATCAAGTCACAGAAGCAATATACTTGTGATTACATACTATTAAACGGAGAGCCAGAATTAAGGCCTTAGTCTAATTCCACAACTCTCCAAAGCCATGGTTCTCTCATTCATTCAAAAAGTATCACATGCTGAGCAAAAGTACAGGCACTGAGACATTTACTATAGGTCAAGCAGTGCGGTAAGGAGGTAAAGATTTTCTTTAAATCCACTTAATCCTCAAAACAACTCTAAAATTTTTTAAGTACTATTATTCCTTTACAGACAAGGACACTCAGTCTGAGAGGTTAGATAACTTGCTTAAGGTCACTTAACTAACTGGGAAGTGACAGTACTAGAGTAAAAATCCTAGGCATTAGGAGCTCTAAAATCTCAACCTCTACACGCCTCAAGGCATGCACACGTTAACTGGCTTAAGGAGACCTGTGAAGCAAAAAACGTTGGAAAATCTTGTAGGGAAGAAAGGTAGGAGCCAGATTATCCCTAGGATCAAGTCTGTTCTCAACCTCATCTAGATAAAAGCTAGCTGAACAGTAATGCAATGAACAGTAAACTTTGTAAGACTTCAATTCTGGTTCCGACTCTAGCTGTGGGATGAGCAGGAAAGCACCTGCCTTCTCAGAACCTGTTTTTCTTCATATAAAAAAATGGAAGTAGGTACCGCCATCTCTCCTCAGAGGTTGAGAAAATGAAGATTTGGTGGTAGAACAGCTGACAACACAAACTTTAGATCATAAAGGGGTAATTGGTTGTCATCCAATGCAAACGAGAAAAGAGGAATTAAATTGCCGCCTCTACTCCTCACGGTCACATCTGTAACCATAGTCTCACCCTGCAGGCAGTACAGACCACTCCAGCCAGTGCAGTAGCGAGGCCAATGTGCACATCACTGCCGCCCCACTTCAGGCTTCGGTCGCCCCTCACCCTCGCTTTATAAAGCAGGGTAACTCAACTTATCACCCAAGGCTCCTCCAGTCAGGATAAACCCACGTGAACACACCTAAATCCGTGCCTGGTACACAGTAAAATGCAAACCCCTGGAACGCTCATGATCCATCTTCTTCAATTCTACAAATGCCAAAACTTTTCTCCTTCCTTGGTCCCCGCAACTATGCAGATTCGGGCCTTAAAGGACGTCCACGGGCCTCCCAGGAACTCGCCGACACCTACAGCCTGCAGCGCGAATCCAAAGCCCCTGTCTGTCCCCACCCACAAGGACACCGAAACCGGCGAGGTGCAAGACGCCGGGGAGGCTGCTGCGTGTGGCTCGCTCTGCTGCCTTTTGTACTAGGAGACGGAGCGGCCTCCGTGGTGGGCCCGTCGCGTCCGGGCTCGCGCGTGGCGGGGCGCGCGGTTCGCGTGGGTAAACACTGCGGGGGTGGCGGCGGGAGAGAGGGGCCTGCAGGAGAGGCGACTCTGCCCCTCAGGGCCAAGAGGCTGCAAGGAAGACGCGGGCGAGGCCAGAACACACCCTTCCCGAACAACCGAGAGCGGCGGCCGGCCGGGGGTCCGGGACTCGGGGGTCCGGGGGTCCGAGGGGCCGGACAGCGCCGAGATCGCGGTGCCCCCGCACCGCGTCCCGTCAGCGCCCTCCACCGACCCCTGGACCGCCAAGGGCTGCAGGCCCGACCCCCGGGCGCCGCCCGTCTGCGGCCCGCCTCGCCGCCGTCACCGCCCGCGCCCTCGGAAGAGCATGGCGAGCAGGCTCTGGCCGGACGGCCGCCGCAGAAGGCCTGGATTACCTGGGGGGCTGCTGGTGGCTGGGCAGCTTTCCGGGCGGGAGGGGGCGTCAGGACGAGGAAGAGCAGGGCGGACGCGGCGGGAGAAGCGGGGCTGAGGCAGGCGGCCGACGGCCCGGCAGGTAGGCGGGCTGGCCAGAAGATGCAGACGCACGGACGGCAGTAGCCGTGGCAGCGGCGACTGCTCCTCAGGTTCCCTCAGGATCTTCCTCGGGCTGGTCCAAGATGGCGGCGCTCCCTGCACAGGGTTTCCTGTCACCCTCGCAGTGGGCCGGACCACAAAAGAAGGGGGGAGGATGCGCGCGCAGCCGGCAAAGCCCGGAAGAGGGTGGCAGAGGCCAGCCTGCTAGCCACGCCCCTTTCCCCGGTCCTTCCCTGCGACTCGCTGCTCCGCCACCGATCCCGCCCCACTGGCCCTAGAACCTGAAAGGGCGGGGGAGAGCGTTTATGCGCAAGCGCAGTCGCGTGTCCTCGCCTGCCTGGGCATTTACTGCGCAGGTTCGCATGAAACCTGTGGGTGAGTCTGGTTGTCGGAAGACTGGGGTTGTCCACTCTTGAACACCTTCACTGATTTTAGTGAAGCAGTTTCCATTTACTGGATCCTTACCGTATTCTGGCAAATACGCTTAGCATACTTGAATTGCATTCATTTAAGTGTGTATACTGCTCGCTTCCTACGCAGCATCAGCCGTGAGCGAGGTAGACTAGGTCCCGGGCCAGGTATACCAGAGGCATCAACCCATTTAGTAGTGGCGAAACAGAGGCTTGGTCAACTCCCTAGTCCAAGATCATGCCACTAGGAAGTGGCCCTTTCTGCCCTGTGTTCCACCTCTGTCTCTTAACTTCGCTTTGGCACTTCCGGGAGGAGGGATTATAACATTTTTCACAACCTGTATGCCACCTCCCACCTTCCAGCTTTATCCCCCACACCAAAAAGCCAATATGTCTCAGTGCAAGCCAATTGTGAGTTTATTGGACCCCGGAATATTTTGACTTGTGACTTTGTTCATGTGGATTTATTTTTATGTTTAGTTAGTATTTTACAATTGTGTTTGTATGGAGATAAATGTATTGGACATTTTCTTGAACATAAGAGTTCATTTTTTTTCTTGATTTTTTAATTTTTTGGATTTTTTTTGAGATAGGATCTCGCTGCGTAACCCAAGCTGGCCTCCAATTTGCAGTGATCCAACTGCCTCAGCCTCTCTTGAGTACTTCTCCTGATTTTAAAACGATGTAAAACATTGTCATGCGTCCCTAAAAATAGTGTGGACCCTAAGCATTGTGTGTACTTTGCTAAGGAATAAGATAGCTTCAACATCCTCAAAATGAAGTTCAGTTTCACTTTTGGCATTTAAAACCTTTCAAAAATTGTTTTTTCTATGAGTTTCATTGGAAAAATGTATGCCAGTTTACCAGTTTATTTTCAGAATGACCTAAGCAAATCTTTTCCTTCAGCCTACTTAATGGTATGTCCTTAAACATATCACTTGACTTTTCTACAAAAGGACAATGATTTCTAAATCACGAGGCCTTGTGAAAATTGAATGAAAAGAACTGTATATGCAAAATGTCTAGCATCTAAGAACTCAAATGGAAATGATTTTATACAAAAAAAGTGATTTTAAAATCTCTCTGAATTCTGGAAATCTATAATTCTAGTCCCAGATTATTTAATAAGTATAATTTGTTGTCACATTTTAACACTTTGGAAATCTGCCAGCACCAATAAAGGAGAAAGCGGTGAGCCAATTGTAATCACTTGTCTAGCAAAGGTAAGCCTGGCTAGAAAGTTACTATATACCCAAATGTCTCCTGAATTAAGGTCTTTATGTATAGCTATGTTTAGCAACTCCTTGGGTTCCAAGAGCTGTCTGAAAATCAGGCACATTTTCTTATTTAGTCCCCACATCTGTATGAAGACAGTAACATATTCAGCCTATTTTGTGAATGAAAAAAAACCTGAGTGTCATAAATTCGTATGGTCAAAAATTGGCAGTGGGAACATGAACCTGGCCACATATGATTTCACAGGTACCATTCCTCCCTGATTTGCAGTTGTACCACCAGAACCAGTTGAAATGTAGATCCCTAACTGTTATTTCAGAAATTACTTCAATGCAGCTTTTAACAGAAATGTGAATTCCGATCTCTGGTCACATATTAATAAGCCCCAGAATTTTCACTTAGCAGAGACTGCATGTGACCAGTGGCAGCATAATTAAGGACTGTCCTTTAGGTGCTGAACATGCAAAGCATTTCCAGTTAACTCTTTTGAAGAATCAGCATCTGTAAAGAAGTACACATGGAATACTCATTGCAGTACTATTTGTACAAGACTAAACATAAAATGTCTATTAGTAAAGAGCTGTTATAGTAAATTTTAAACATTCTTATTATTGAATACTGTGCAGCCGGTTAAAAAGAATGAATGTTTTGAGGGGAAAAAAAGACTAAACAGTATGCCAACATTGTTAAACTGCAATAGCAGGGTGAAATACATATACATGATTATGTAACTGGACATTGAGAAGAGTTTTTCCTATTGTCTTAGAACTGCTACTGAGCCCGATCTTGAAAACAAAGGTCCAAACGGAGCCTCCATTCTGTATTTGAAGAGCAGCCAATGGCTGGAACCAGCTACCTCCCAGCAAAGCATGGAAGGACCCACATTGTTCAGGAAATCAGCTCTTCCATCACTTCCTATCTCTAATCTCTCCAATTCAGTTCTGTTCCTAACCCTCTTCCCAGACTTGTACCAGTATCAGGGACCTGGTCAAGATCTTTCATTGCCTGTACCAAGGGTCTGATGAGAGGATGAAACAAGAAACAGACAAATTTAGTAGTACCTGATGAATGACTGAGAGGTTGCCTCCAGATAAACCAAGAGAGCCACACTCCAAGATAGCCATTGTTTACTTGGTGTCACAGCGATAGGCAGGATTAGCAGAAGATTCAAAGTCTGTGGAAGACTCATAGGTCTATGACTCAATGAGCAAGTATAATCTTGGGATGACTCAAGAGGGTGGAGATGATATGCTAAGAGGGATCTTGCACTGAAGTGTTTTTTAGGAATTTAATGATTTTAGTTTTAGTCCTGGTGGGACAGGATGGCCCACCCCTAAAGAGTTAATGGGAAATCTCAATTGAATAACACTAAGAATCCCAAGCCTCCATTTATACGAAGTTAGCCATTGTGGATTTGTGGTCCCCAACACACTATCACTGGTGATCACTGGAAATAAAAGCTGGAGAGACGGGAAGAAAGTTGTTCTGGAGGGGAGCCATTTATTTTTCCCTCTCTGCATGGTAGCCTATATTCTTTTCTAGAGCCAAGGCAAAGGGACTCCAAGAGAATTGCTAGTGAAGACTAAGTGTGCCTGTAGCTAGAGGGGACCGGCAGTGGTGAGATACCTGTTTGGGCAGCAGAGGAACCCGTTGTTGCTATGCAGGGGGAAATACAGGTGGAAGGAGTGGGCGTGGCAGGGGTTTGGAATGAAGCTCTAGTTGGAGAGAGGTGGGAACTACTCTCCTCTTCTCTCCTGGGTCCCAGGCAAGAAGACAGTAAGGAGGTGTTGTAAGAGGGCTGTGGTGTGAATGCCATGTCTGGAGGAAATACAGCAGATACCTGAAAACACAGCAGATGCCTGAAAGGCCGCCCATCCCAGGACTCACTCTTTGTTACAGCCACCTGGTCTTGTTTTACTTGCCTATATATTTTTATAATTCTATTATAAAAATAGATGTTGCCAAAGGATGATGGCGCACGCTTGTAATCCCAGCATTTAGGAGGCTGAGGCAGGAGGATTACTGTGAGTTTGAGGCTAACCTAGATTACAATTTGACTTCAAGGCCAGTCTGCACTTCATAGTGAAACTTTGTCTCAAAAAGACACCTCCCCGCCCCCCGCCCCAGCAAATCAGCTGGTGTTTCTCTCCCAAGCTTCAATATGTAGTAATTTCCAGATCTCGCTATGTGCTTATTTAAATCAGATTAACTCACCTCTATATTATTAGTTTTATAAGCTTAATTTTATTGGTTCATTTTCCTCATACATTTTAAAATTTTGTTTCATAAGCTTGTCCTGGACTTCAGATTTTTCCCCTTTCCTCATCCCTTTTCGTCTAGTGACTTTAGATCACCACCAATCCAGAACCACATATTAAAATATCAGTGTTCCCCTCAAAAGAAATCACCGGCAGTGTGAAAAGAAAATCCACAGAATAGGAAAAAATTATAGCCAACAATCCCTCAGCAATCCAGAACATGTAAAGAATTGAAAAACATCAAGCCTCCCAAATTCAAAGACTGTCTCCAAAAATGGGCATCTGAGATGAACACACAGTTCTCAGATGAAGATATATAAATGACAAATAAATACATGAAATGTTCACCATCACTGGTCACTCGAGAAATGCAAATTAAAACAGCACTGAGATTTCATCTCACTCCAGAAAGAATAGCTGCCACCAAAAAAAACAACTGACAAATGTTGTTGAGGCTTTGGGGGTTTGGGGGGAAGGAATACTGCTCCACTGTTAATGGGAGTGTATACTGGTGCAGCCACTGTGCAAATCAGTATGGAGAATTCTCAGAAGACTAGGATTGGAAGTTCCATTCAACCCACGTATTCCCCTCCTGGGTATTTTCCCAGAAAACCTGAAAAGATCATGTCACAGTGATATATGTGCACTTATGTTCATAGCAGCACAATTTGTAATAGCTAAATTTTGGAAACAACCAAAATGCCCATCAACTGCAGAATGGATGAAAAAGATGTGATTTTTTATACAATGGAATATTACTCAGCTATAAAAAAGATGATCTTGACACCTTTATAGGTAAATGGAGATAAGGGAAATGAATATGAATCATATTTGTAAGTATCACATTGTCTCTCTAGTGTAAAAAGTAATAAGAACTGTAGGAGTAATAAAACCCAAAATGTGTAATTGCTATTGTAAAAAAGAGAGGAAAAGAAAGTGCTCTAAAGGTATAACTGCATGTATGTATAAGTGTGTAAGATAGATGACCATATTACCAAGTTTTTGTTAGATCATTGAGCAGAACTGTCTGCAGTCTCATTGTCTGAATGTCCACTTTGTATGCTTTAGTTTTGTAACTTGAACAATTATTGCTAAGATGACAGTATGTAATTTATCAACTAGTGATTTCCTAGTGTTTTTTAAAATTCTGTATTGTTGCTACTCTTTTTTCTGTTTTGCTTTTTTTCTCTTTAAATAAATTTTTTTTTTAAATCAGTATTCCAATTCCTTGGGAAATATTGAAGATATAGCAAAACTAATATAATTTGTACTCTAAATTTTATTACCATACTCATGTGTGACCTAACTTTAAAAAGCTAATATATTTTGAAATATGGTCAATTAACTCCCAGTGATACATAATTTGATAAGAAAAAGCAAATAGTCCAAAAATACTGGCGTAGCCAAAAAGGAAAAGGTATACTTCAGATATTTAGCAGGCTGAAGTTAAAAATCAAAGGACATGAAAATCTTTAGTCTCTGAAAAAAATTAGATTTGATTTATTTTCATGAAGCAAATGTATGTAATTGTAAAGGTAAATACATAGTATATTCAATTATAAAAGAAATGTATCCTTTAAAATAGGGATACTTAGCTGTGTGTGGTGTAATCATAGCATTTGGGAGGCTGAGGCAGAAGGATCAATTCAAGTTCAAGACCAGCCTGGACTACAAAGTGATCCCAAGGCCAGCCTGAACTGCACAGCAAGACCCTGTCTCAAAAAGACAAAATAAATAAAATAAGATTCCTCTTCTTTCCCATATACTTTCTACTGATGCTCAAAAGAATAATCCTCTGAAATCATAGTTTATGAGCATATGAAAGTCTAAATCTCACAACAGACAAATCATGTAAACAGCACACTTGAAAATTTTTCAAGAAGAAAACCTGAAAACTATTATTGCTAAATTTTCCTCTAACACTGGATCTGAGAGTCATTTCTTTGACTACCAGATGAGGGTGGTTTTGATTTAGAAGCTGTGTTACATGAAGCAAAATAAGTATCTTTAAATTTTAGAGTCACATGATGTGGCAAATGACCGCACCACAAGATTCACATGGAAACAGATGTGCTACAAAATAGCTTCTGTTCTTTCATTGTGTTCTCTCTTTAAAGCAGGCACTTACCTACAAACAGAGAAAGCAAGCTGACACATTATATCTTTATTACTGTCCAGTGGTATGTTGGTTCATGAACTTAATTCTTTCTATAATTCTGGTTGTAAACTGAATTGGACAAGAACCAAATCAAATTTTCCTACAAAGTCAACACTGTTTAAATTTGATTCGGTTCTCATCCAATTTGGTTTGCAGCCAGAGCTACAGAAAGAATTAAAGTTCATGAACTGAGGTACCACTTACTTTGTGCAACCCATAGTTGAAAGTGCAAGGTGAAAGCATGTGTGATGTGACAAGGTAGTCACAGGTGGTGACAAAAGCATAAAAATGACAGTGCTGTCAAAAGCTGGAACTTCACATTACTTGGCAGCTAAGTTAGCCTACCTCAGTGTCATGAGTACTGGCACAAGATGCGAGACTTTCAGGTCAGAGATAAACGACGTTATTCTTCACAGGGTAGCAGGCAACATGAACATCAATGTGCTTGCATGTGTTCCCCTTGTTCCCAAATCCAATGGGTGGTGATGCAAAGAGGGTATCTGGATATGAAAAGGGATGGCATTCAATTTCTGTGTTCTAACATAAGTAAAGACTCATGAAGTTACCTCATAATTTAAAGGAGAGGTGCAGGGTTCTAGCAGAGGCCTAAAAATGCAGCTTATTGCTATGTATGAGGAATTCAGTGAATGAAGAGCAAAAGTATCTCCCATGTTACAGAAGAACCCTAAGCATAGGAAAATCAAATCTTCTATTATGGGAAATTGATGAGTTCACCGCTATGGGACTCTGTCGGGCCCTTCATGGCAATGATCCAACATGGCGTCTACAACCTCACGATCAGCCTTCACAGGCCTCCGTGTTCTTCCCAAGATAAATATCTCCATTCCCTTCAGCACATGTGCCAAAAGTCCTCCAATCTTCTCCCAGCACCATGACAAATCATGGTCTCCACCCCAGCCAAACTCCGTAAAAACCGTTTCCCAGCTTCCTGTGTTTGAGGGTCATGGCAGTCTCCAGCAGCCCCCCGTGTGGGCAATAAAGGGTTTCTTATCTCAGTCTTCTTCTCTAAACTATGCCAAAAACCCAACAGAACTATTTCTATGTTTGTCCTGAAAAGAAAAATTATCTGCATTCTCTAGCGGAGCTGTTTGCTCTGCAAATATCCTTTGAAAGAGTCCAAGACAAAGAGCACCCAGGCCTCTGCTCACAAGCCATGCAAAAATACCTGTCTCCCAAGCGGGGCAGGTTTTATCAAGTGTAACTATTGCATTTGGTGGAAGGAGATAATAAGTAAACGATATCTGATTAGGAAAGAGTCAGGTTGACCTTGCCTCATTTCCAGCATAACTTTCTACTAGTTTTGGCCGTAGTCAAATCACGTAACTTCTCTGAACCTCGACTATAAAACGAGCTAGACACTTTGTTTTTTTGGTCTTTTTGAGAAAGAGTCTCACTATGCAGTTCAGGCTGTCCTTGAGGTTGCTTTGTAGCCCAGGCTGGTATGGAATTTACAATGATCCTCCTGTCTCAGCCTCCTGAGTGCTGGGATTACAGGTATGTGCTACCACACCCAGCTATCAAATGGGTGAATATCTCTATTCCCACTGAAAATGTCTAAAAGTGTTTAGAATCTGATATATTCTAAGCATTCAACAGATACTCGAAACTACCACCCTTCACTGAATTCCTCATACATATGGATCAGGCCACATTTAGGCCCCTGCCAGAGCTCTGCGTCCCTCTCTCAAGTCTGGAGGCAACGTCGTGGGTCTCTACTTATGTTCAGACATCTGAGTTCAGGTGAGACTCCCAAAATGGTAGTGGTTTTCACAAGGTAGAATTTATTTTTCAGTCCTGTGGTAGTCCGGGGTCAATATGGCAGTTTCAAGGTGCTTTTGTTGTTGCGCTGCTGCCCCAAAACATGCTTCCATATCATGGGTTAAAAGGCTTAACCCAAAACAGGTGTGGTGGCATACGCCTCTAATCCCTGCATTTTGGGAAGCAGAGGAGGGAGGATTTTAAACCTGAACCCAGCCAGGGCAATTTAGTGAGAGCATGTCTCAAAAAAGCCCTGAGGATATGGTTTAGTGTGAAGGTTCTGGGTTTGCAAAACCCAGTATCACAGAACAAACAACAGCAACAAAAGAAAACAAAACATCAAACACCTTTGATCCGGTTGCCACCACAAGAGGGGGGAAAACAGAAGTGCTGGTGTGTGTTGTCACTTTAAGTGTCTCACCCAGAAGTTGTACACATTACTTTGGATCACTAATGGGTTACCTGGCCACATCTTGTTTCAAGGGATGCTGGGAAATTTAATCTTTATTCAGGGGAAAGGATTACTGCTGATGGAAGAAGAAAATGGTGGATATTGAAAAACATTTCTCTGTTTCTGCCACTCAGTTACTACTTTGCTTAAGAGTGGACATACGGGCTGGAGATTTAGCTCAGTGGCATAAGCGCCTGCCTTGTAAGCAGTCAGTCATGAGTTCGATCCCTGGTACCGATAAAAACGAAAAAGACAAAAAAAAAAAAAAAAAAAAGAGTGGACAGGCATTAGAGCAACCTGAGGGCTCAGAAAGTTGGAGGGAAAATCCTAAAACCTCCAAGATGAGTAGTAGAGCATAAAACCTTTTCTCCTGGCGTCATTCTCAGGCTGCCTATTTGGGGTTCTCTATGGGACTCTGAATGAATACCATCCTTTGGCAGGCTTGAGTTGTGAACAATTTGAGGAATAAAACAGATAGACAAAGGCCACATATAGCCAGGTTGGAGAAGAGGATTTTAGAGCTGGTGGCTGATGGAAACCTCTAATAGTGAATTCTCTACCTGGTCTGCAAAGCTGAAGACAGATCTCCTTCTGAAGAGCACAGAGTCCTAGGAGTAGTTCCTGGCCAGTAAAAAAATAAATAAATAAAAAATTAAAGTGCTGAGATGAGCGTGACCAAGTATTCTCAAATGTGCAAACAGATCAGTCCTCTATCTTCCCACAATGTGCAAAGTAAGGAGAAGAACCAATAATGTGCTTAGAAGAAAATCCTTCCCCCATGAAACCAGAAGGAGGAAAAAGGAGTTCTCCTCTGAACTCCTCTGTTCCCTCTGAGCAAAGACTGGGGCCTAGAAATACTAAAGCAAGCAAACACAACAGAGCCCCAAACGTAACAAAAACCCAAGATGAAGGTCAGAAATTACCCAACACTGTCATTGGATCTGAGCCCAGCCTTGCCCCTAGTAGCTGAGACTTTAGATAATAAATTCCTCAAAGAAGGCCTCTAATTCTTCACTTCCTTGTCTATAAAATGAGGAAGTAGCAGTATTGAATTCTTCTAGTAGTCATCAAGATAAAATGAGGTAAAACAGGAAAAGTTTTTACCATGGTGCCTGGCAAGGAATAAAAACCCAGGGAGCAGACATTGCTGCTGTTATTTCTGGGAGCCTGAAGCGGTTTCTCCAAGTAAACTGGGGAAGAAGAAAGTCTTTAGCTGCTATCATGGAATTTGACACAGAACAAAAGGACTTTCAAAGAGGAATACAAAGAATAGCAGAGAGGGAGAAGAGGGGAAGAACGGGAAACAGGCCTTTGCAGACTTGGCTGGTCAGAGATGCTGACCAGCATCCATCTGCATTAGGTCTTCATTTTCCCACATCCTGGTGCTACCCCAAAAGTGCACCTATGTGTATATGCATGTGTGTGTACGCAGACAAAGCCATAGGCTAGTCAAGATTGATTTAGAGTCTAGCTTTGAAACTCCCTGTTCTCAGAAGAGGATATTCCCTTTATAAATATGTTGGTTAGGAGAAGCTAGGCTTTGCTGTGTAACAGATGAGCCGCCAAGTCTCCGTGACTTACAACAACCTCAGAGGTTTACTTCTTGCTCATCCTGCATTTATGAAGTGTCTGGGACCCCCATGCCATGTCATCTTCGCTCCAGGACCCACACTCTCTCATTCTGGAACTTTGCCTGATTTCATGGCAGAAGGGAAAAAGAGCCAGTGAACAAATCCTGAGTCTTCAAGCTTCTCCCAAGTAACACAAACTACTTTTCCCATTCCACAGACCAGAGCAAGTCTTCTGGCCTGAAGGTGACAGAGT